GCCGAGACCGCCCCCCCGACCCCGTCCCCACCCGCGGAAACCGCTGCGGGCTCCACCCGCCAGCCGGGCGCAGTCGTCGCCCCCGCCTCCCCGCTCCTTCCATCCTCCCCCGCGCCCGGCCCTCTCCGCTCGGGGACTTCATCCCCTCCATCCCTTGACCCTCGCCTTCCCCTCCTCCTGTCCTTCCTCCTTCTCGCTGTATTACCCCCCATTTGCTTTCTTCTCACCTTTCTGCCTCTTTTCTGGGCCCCCCGCCTTTCTTTCTTAAAAAAGGAAAACAAAAGCCCCCTTTGCGCAAATGAGCGTTTTTTAAGCGGAACTCCTTTTGCCAACGCGAGAAACTGATTCTGTGCGTGAATGGTGTTGGAGAGGGTACCGGGTCTCCGGAATCTGGGAAATCTGATCGAGAGGTGCCAGCCTTCTCGCCACTCGTGTCCTCAGTTGGGAGAGCCTGAGGGTGGCAGAAGCAAGTGGGTCTGTCTGTCTGTCTGAGTGTCTAACAGAAGACTGCAGTGAGGCGCGGTGCGAGGACGGCCGCCGGGTTAGTTCGTGGGCACGGCGCTCTCCTTTGCTAAATATATTGTGACATACCCTGCGCCTCTGTGAGCGGCTCCCTTGACCTTGTGCGGCTCCTCCCCCCTCGCTCTCTGTCCCCCTCTGGAATTTCCCGGAGAGATCACCGAGGTACTGAGATCCCTGATTTTCTTTTATTTATTTTTATTTGTGTGTGCTGGAGACGATTTTCTGTGTTGGTGGCTGTTTGGATGTGTTTAACCCGTGTGCCTTTTTAAAATGCATTTTCCTTTCACCTCAGAAAGACAGGACGGACTCCCATGTGAGAATGGCTGTGACTTTGGAACGAGCTCCCTGGCTGGGCTGGATCTTGGTGAAAGCCCTGATGAGGTTTGCCTTCATGGTTGCCAACAACCTGGTTGCAATTTCATCCTACGTCTTCTATGTGATTGTGCTTCAGCCCCTGCGCGTGCTGGACAGTAAGAGCTTCTGGTACATTGAAGGAATCATGTACAAATGGCTCCTAGGCATGGTGGCTTCTTGGGGATGGTATGCTGGATATACAGGTAAGAGCGGGAGCCCTTCCGCTTTATGTATGTACTGTTTTTGCTTAGTTCAGGAGCCATGATTAACTATATGTTATACTTTGGGTGGACGATGTTTTTACGCTTGGACTATTGAAAAATACATAGAAAACAATTCTGAGTTTTTTTCTTTAGAATCCCAATAATAAGGGCATTTTCAGCAGTATAATTTCATAACTATATGTTGATAAATTCCTTCAATGACATGTTATTTATGTGATTGACAGTTAGTAAAACCGGTCTGCAGAAGCTCTCTTAGAGAAATAGGAGTGGGTTATATAGAATTTGAAGGCTTATAAAATGAAGAGGGAAGATATTTAGCTCATAAACAGTGGGCATTTAGAAATAGGATTGTGAGCTATATGTGTGTTAAGATAGTTTAATATGTTTTTTTTCATTTAATGTAATAATTGTACTGTTAACATTTTAAGCCAAACAAAAAATGACTCTTTTCTGTTACGTACGTTTCTTTTGCTTATAGAACCTTTGTTTTATCTCATAAATCTGTATTAGAAGATTAAATGTAAAGGTTCAGTTTAACATATAAGCGAATTTATCTTCTGAATGTCTTTAAGCACATCTTTATTTCTGGCTTTGCCTTGCATTTTGGGAAGCAGGATCAGTGCTGTTCTGGAGTGGACTTTTAGAGACCTAGAGGAGAAGTAGGGTTTGTTTTCTGTTTTGAGGCCTGATGTGCTGTGAGAACTTGGGCCTCACTGATGAAAATTCTCCATTGTGTAGTATATTGATTTGACTTTTTTTTCCCCCTAAGAATTGGGATGATGAAAAAAAGCATTGAGGTTTCTTAGCACTTGTCTCAGGCTGTTGAGGCTTTTAGATTTTTATGACTGATGGGCTCCTGTAGATGGTGTGGGTCAGTGGAGTCTGTAGTTCGGAGCTTAGAAGAGTGAGGAAGATACTCTCAGGCTCCAACAGCACAGCAGTTCCCCATTTTAAATTCTCTGCCTCCCTCTTTCCTGCCCAGGCTGCACCTGCAGATTTTGCCAGACACGTGAGAAAAGGACTGACAGCACCCAGGTTTTATGGAGTCTGACAGACTCTTGCTAGGTCAGAGTGCTCTCAGTCGCCCCAGATGAGGCCTTTCCTCCTCCTGGCAATGCCATTTATGATACTGAAAACCCCAGAGTCCCTGGGTAGTGTATACATTGCTTCCTTGTCATATGTTCTGTTGAGATCCTAATGCTTTTTGGGCATAGTAGTGAGCTTCTAGTCCTTTCATAGGACCTCGTGGTAGCAGTAGGGGCGATAGAGAAAAAAATGAAGTTCTCATCTATGGTGTTGAACATTTACCTGAACTGCACTGCTGTTTTAGAGTTGCTTTGCTGTATATAGTTTGTGCTTCCCCAGAGTCCTATATGGTACGAGTGGCTTTGTTCTCTGTATGGTATACTTAAATTGCTTTTTAAAAATGAGTTGATAGTGTTTTTAGATGTAAATTCTCGAAGTTCATTCTACTTAAACTCGATGGAATTACTGAAATGCTTGTGCTTGTGTGTGCAGTATATTTGTGTATGTGTTAGCATGATGAGAAACTGAAAAAATTTAATTTGGCATTGACCTTGAGATTGTAAGGAGTGCAGTTGTAATGCTGCTTGAAGTTAAAGTTAATTATCCTATGGCCACAGCAGGGCCGCAGTGTATTTTAAGCATATTTTCTTGGGGTGTCTCTTCCTTGCTGTCTATGGAACTGCATGTTTCTTTGGCCACCTGCTTGGTCTTGACATGATCTGCACATTTTAGTCTCTCTGAAGCATTTGCTGTCTTCAGGCTATTGTATTTTGACCGTTTGGTCAGTTTGTCTCATTTAAGAGTAGATTATTTTCGTGTGCTTATTTTAAATGGTATTTCTATAGGTAGACTACTTTTAGAGGGTCTGGTCATGGTTTGATCATAACAGAGCACCGTCAAGAGGTCAAACAAATGTAGGAATGACATTCATTGAAAGCTGCAACTGGGTCTTAAGCAAACATAAGCAGGGATCGATGGGCAGATGTACCCAAAAAAGCATCTAGGACAGCAATTTTCAATCTTTGTCATCTCATGGTACACATAAACTAATTACTAAAATTCTGCAGCACACCAAAAAAAATGTTACTTTTTTTTTTTGCCAATCTGATAAAAAAAAAGATATAATTTTGACTTACATTGGACAGCTATTGTTGTGTTGGCTGTTGTCATTTTTTAAATTTGACAATCTAAGGGAAAAGAAGTCAGTGTCCCCGACTTAATAGTCAGCTATTGCATGTTTTAAAAATTCTTGTGGCACACCAGTGTGCCTGCCCTCGCTCGCACACTGGTTGAAAATCACTAGTCTAGGAGGTCGTCATAACCTCTGTAGGAATTTATCTTTCATTTCTTCCTTTTGTATCAAGAGGAGGATGGGTTTAAGTTTTGTTTTTGCCTCCCTTTCTGAAACTCTGCTGAAATTTCACAGATGGAAAATTGAACCTTGTTAAAGGAATTCTTCTCAGCAGGTCTTGTCTGTTCATGTTTTAGAATAAAAATTGCCAAACTTTGTCAAAAAACCACTTCCAAGGAAATCTTAAATATGAATTAATTAAATATTAATTAGGAAGCTGAAAAGTGAATATTGGTTTAGAGTATCATTTTTTCAAAATGTGGTATTCTGTCTAAGACAAGTCGATTACACAGCTTATGTTGCTTATCAATCCTACACTGCCCTATATGGTAGCTTCTAGACTCTGTGGCTATTTAAATTAAATTAATTAAAATGAAATAAAATTTAGTTTCTCAGTCACACCAACTACATTTCAAGTGCTCTGTACTAGGTGTCTAGTGGCTATTGTATGGGACAGTGCAGATGTATAACATTTCCATCATCACAGAAAGTTTTGTTGGACAGAGCTAATGAATAGTCAGTATGGCTTTCTCCTATTTCTTAGGAAAAATGCATTTTATCTTTATAAAGAATACTTTTCTAAACATAGTTCTAAATAGGTTTCTTTTAGGAAAGGCCCGAAGATTTATCCAAGCTTTATACAATTATCTTTTAATTTGAGGCAAATGCCACTAAACTGTGTCCTTTAAACTCAGACATGCTTCTTGGATGGGGAATGAAGTTGAATGAACATTTTTTTTAAAATATACTTTTTTTTATTGATTTTAGAGAGGACGGGAGAGAGATAGAGAGATAGAAACATCAATGATGAGAGAGTATCATTGATAGGCTGCCTCCTGCATGGCCCCTACTGGGGATCAAGCCCGCAACCCAGACATATGCCCTTGGCCAGAATCGAACCTGCGACCCTTTAATCTGCAGGCCAACGCTCTATCCACTGAGCCAAACCGGCTAGGGCTTGAATGAACATTTTTGTATTTCATTTGAGTTCTCAGAGCTGGAGAAGACAAAGAGGACGGAAAGGGGTTTTTTGGCCTTTCTGCTGGTTTCTAACTTTATGTCTTGTTAGGGGAACACAGTTCTTTTTATTTATTTATATTTATTTTTTATATGTTTTTATTACATTTATAAAGGGAGAAAAAGAGAGAGAGAGAGAAACACCAGTGATAAGAGAGAATTAGGGATCGGCCACCCCCACCAGGGATGCAGCCTACAAACCAGGCATGTGCCCCTACCAACTGGGTATCACTCTAATCACCTGTGCTTCTAGGCAGGGCATGGGGGGAACACAGTTCTTAAAAGATCTCTGAAGACATTGGGGTTTGTTTTGTTCATCTGTAGCTTGAGACGAAGTAGTGATGCTTGTTGGTACTGGATTTCCTTTCGTGGGAAGGGCTGTAGAAATATCTCATGTGGCCAAAACCGGTTTGGCTCAGTGGATAGAGCGTCGGCCTGCGGACTGAGGGGTCCCGGGTTCGATCCCGGTCAAGGGCATGTACCTGGGTTGCGGGCACATCCCCAGTGGGGGATGTGCAGGAGGCGGCTGATCGATGTTTCTCTCCCATCGATGTTTCTAACTCTCTATCTCTCTCCCTTCCTCTCTGTAAAAACTCAATAAAATATATTAAAAAAAAAAAAAAGAAATATCTCACGTGGAGGAAAATGTGTATACTGCTTTTGCTCTAATATTTCAAGGGCACACCAAAAGAGGTACTAGCTTAATGAATGATTCAGATCTGTGATAAATCAGTACACTTCTCTCCCCTCAACTTAAGTGGACACTGGCAAATTCCAGAGAGAATTTTTAAAAATAAAATGTGTTTGTTTTGATTCTCATTCACTTATTTTAATAAGTTCATTGTTCCCCATCCAAACGCATTTAATTAAAGTCTCTTACACAAAATTGTTTAAAAATATTTATTGTAACTGGAAGCACCAGTTATATAGGGTGAGTCTTTTGGGCCATAGTCTAGCTGAAAGGGAGCTGGGGTTGTCAGGGCACTTGCCACTAAACTATTTTTGCTTAGCAAATGCTGTTTTTCTTAGAGTGGGTATTTACTTGGGTGGTTTTAGGGAAAGCTGATGGAGATTAGGTTTAGCTTCCTCCTACTCCCCAAGTGACAGCTGTCATGGTTCTATGTTAGTCTTTGTGGGTTGATTATTTGATTGTGTTTTTTTACTGGGATACAAATTCACCCTGTGAGAAAAAAATATTTGGAATTATATATGACCTTGAAATTCTAGAAAAATGTAGAAAATATATCTTCTAGAGCAGTATTTTTCCACCTTGATTGAGTCATAAACCAATTTAGTGTGTCAAGATGAACATTTTTTTTTAATATATTTTATTGATTTTTTACAGAGAGGAAGGGAGAGGGATAGAGAGTTAGAAACATCGATGAGAGAGAAACATCGATCAGCTGCCTCCTACACGCCCCCCACTGGGGATGTGCCCGCAACCAAGGTACATGCCCTTGACCGGAATCGAACCTGGGACCTTTCAGTCCGCAAGCCGACGCTCTATCCACTGAGCCAAACCGGTTCTGGCAAGATGAACATTTTTAAAAAGTAAAATATAATAGAGTTAAATAGAAAAGATCAG